TTTGTTATATAGTATCTGGAGTTTAAATTAAGTCGCATGAAATTATTTGAATTAAAAAAAAAAAAAAAAAAAAAAAAATGCAATTTATATTTAATACTTAAAAAAAAGAAGGTAATTACACAGATGAGGATTCACTTACTTCACCGTTTTCGATGAAATTTACGTTGTAGAAACCAACACATTGAACAAATTTCTTTTTATATATGTAACTTCCATCAGGCTTTAGTTTTCAAAATATTCATGAAAAGACTGAGCTCAAGTTCAAAATTATTAAACGCTCAAGTTTATGATTAGGATTGAAAGATTATAAAACCGGCACAAAAGTAATAATAACTTTTATTATCTCAAATCTGTCTTAGTTAACTCTTGGTCAAACCTGCTTAATGGCTTGCATAGGGTTTAGGGTAGTATTCTTAATACTAGCCGAGAACATTAGGCGACCTGCCATTAACATTTTACCTGCAAGAAATTCCCTTGTGTTTAAAAATTGAAACACAAAACATAAACTGAGGAGCTTCTAATCCTGCTCATAGAAACCTAACCCTAACCCAAAGCCTAAACGTAAACCAAAATCTAAACCACATACCAAAGTAAAAATGTCAAAAAATTTTTCATGAATATCTGAATGAAAACCAAAGCCGAGAAAGGCTATGTATATATAAAGATGATTTGTTGATTTCTACAACACAAAAATCATCAAAATCGATGAGGTTATGGACCTAATTTGAATAATTACCGAGAACAGTTTATAATTACTACAATAAGTGATAATTTTTGTATCGACAATATTAAACAGAAAAGTTCATTCATACGCTATAATTTAATTTAATCACGAAATAAACTAATTTATTGGATTTTATCGTACGGGAAATATATACAGTTCATACGATAATTTTTCTAACCAGACAGAACCTTTCACCCGATTGGTAAACGCTCAAGGTTACCACTGACGCCGAAAGTCTTAAGATATTTTTTGCACACGCATGACGCGTGCTCTTGTGAAACGGCATTAAAAGTCCTTCAAACCATGCCGTAGCTCGCCATACATACGTGGCCGTGACCTCATGCAATTTAATGACCGAACAATAATACAATTTTCACTATCATACACAGAAAAATGGTCGTATTCCATCTCAAATTATGAAACAAAGAACTTTTCTTAAGGTGAAATAACTAATAAAAATCTCAATAAAAATAATAAGTTTCACAATAGTAATCTAGAAATCTAATAAAAATAGTATCACCTATAAAGTAAAGTGATGGTGACACGCCCAATAAGTTCTCCCGTGGTTTTATCTGTTTCTAGACAGTTAAATACATTCTTTGCCTTTTTTGGTTGCCTCTTGGTCTAAGAATGAACACTTTTTAATTACAAAAAGATATGAATAAATAAATGTCTTTAAAGATCAATCATAATTTTTCAAGCCACGCGGTATGTACTTTAGGAGATTTAACAATGATCAATTTCACATTATTTTCATTAAAAATAATTCAGTGCTATAAAAATATATTTAAACAGAAAAAACAATCAAATTTAATAATTTTCTTAGTTATCGCACAATTAAGTTAGGTTAATTTTTAGTTATCACAGAAAAAAACTGATAATCAAATATGGAATAGGTTTCTTCTGTGACCACTTACAAGATGGCTACAAGCTAATACGTGGAAAGATGTAAAGCTATTGTTGAAGATAACATTTGTGTTCCCTAAAACTGTATATTAAACTGATTACTGTATATTAAAAATTTTTAAACAAACAAAAGTCTATAAACATAACTAACAAATAAGAAACAAAATGCTTGAATATTATATCATTTTAGAAACACGTGTCTAAAGCACATGATGCATAAAATTTTCCACTACAGATTCTAAACAACAGTGACTTCCATAAAACAATTAAATATTTCAATTTCTCCTTTGAAATGTTCTTAATCTATCGAACAATAATGATATTGATGTAATATTTACTACATGCAATATTTACTACGTGCGTCTCGAGATCAAAAGCAGCCATATTTAACACATTTGAGAGTCAATCTTTGAAATATATATATATTTCCCACAACTTAAAATCAATTTTCCATTTGAAGAATGAAAATATAATTCGAGAGAAAAATACGAAAAGCATCGAGAGCTAATTATACGCGTTTAAACGCGTTTACGATAGAGTTCACATTTGGGAAAGTTTGTGAACACAAAATGTCGGAACCACGTTACGGCAAACAGGTATATATCACAGCTGTATCTATCGAGGATAAATTCTCTCAAGGAATCAAAATAATTTTTATACATACATTCAACTAAGATAATCTTCTGCCGTGGTCGTTGTATCCGTTTGAACACTTGTCACAGTAACAATAATTTAAGGGAAAAAGAAAGATAAAAAAGAATGCAATAAAAGTCGATACACACGAGAACATTCAGATAGAAACGCGTAAAAAGGGAGAGGAAGAACGATGCGTGTAAAGGGCGCTCGTTAAAATTAAATAAATGGTTATTATGTACAAGATCTGCCGAGTATTGCAAAATAAAAATGAAATCTTCTCTATAGGAACGGAAAAGTAAAAACGCAGATACATTAAGCGTATTCGTTACGTTAAAAAATATGTACTTGTTGAAAAATAAATAACTTTTTCAGTAGTACGTATAAATATCCACTTATGTATAGCTACAAATATACAATTAATGATTTAAAAAAATAATGATTATAAAAGAAAAAAAGGGAAATGGAAGAAACGGAGTAAAAAAATACGGGCCGGATAGCACAGCACGTGCTGGCTACTGGAGGAACTCCGTTGTTTGACGAGGAAAGAACTCAGGGAACCTCCCTCCAGCAACGCGATGGCTGACTTCGTGTAACTTCGGTACATCTCGCGCCTTTTCGTCGTATGATGATGTCACCGTTTGGCACGAAACTCCTTTCGGAGTTCTATGCTTTGCGTTTTAATCGTCGAAAAAAAAATGTATTCCGACAAATTTCTATCGACGATATATCTACATTTTCATTGTTCCCAAGCTTGTTCACAATGTTCTTTAATTTTCGAAAACTACAAAAAACGATTGAACTTGTGACACGTACAATGTATTTTAGCTGAATTTAATTGAATACGAAATTTAATACAAAACGTAAATTTCAAGCTAACAGTAATATTATTACTATATTCTTATTGTTTTGGGAACATATTTCTTTTCCAAAACAATATAAAAATTGAGATATAATGAAATTAAAGTGTAACAAATACACAGACAAAATACCATTCGATTTTTTTTTTGCCATGCAAAATACAACGAAAATTTACTCTATTTCCTTTCCTTCATTTTTTAAAAAAAATCTATTAGTAAAACTAATTGAAATATTTTATTCTACTTTACAATACAATAGTAGAACCACTTAAAAAATTATAAATTTTTTTCGATCAACTTCGCAATTAAATTTTTTTATCTCTGAGAAATTTCGATTTCGAAATACTATTCAATCATGTCAACGAATTTGAGATACACATTTTAAATAATGTTTCTTCACCTGTTTCAATGTTGAAATGCTTTGTCCTTTTAATGATATGATCGCTTAATTATACTATACTAAATTTCATACAAGAATATCATTTCGCAGAAATTATTTTGAAAAGCAAATTCTTTGCATGAATGCAAAAGCATTTATCAATATACAAACACGATTTAAATTTATATTGAAATGAACATGAAATTACGACTCGTGAACGTATTAATTAAAATAAAACTTGCGTCACAATAAGTTTAAATTGACTATAAGGGGAATTATGAAACTTTTAGGTTAGAGTTAAAACAAGTAACACCACAAAAGTATTCAACAACTCTCGTTTTGAATAATATTTTTAAAAATATAATCACGCAAAATTTTATGAATGTCTTTTGTGAAAAAAAAAAAAAAAAGAAAAAATCCAAATATTCAAATTTATACGTGTCTAATGAGACACGTTTCCTTTTTTACATTATGATCGTACATATGTACCTATTATATAAAGGCATCTTCGTGGATCACTGTACTATATATCATGATTTCTAATGATTTGAAAAATCATGTGAATATCGAAAATATGTAACATAACTATTTATACGTAAACCTATGGACAATGATAATTACAGAAGCAAAGTTCGTATTACAGTGATATGAGATGAAAAGAGCAATGTACATATGTCGGAAATCCTAACCTACAATTTTATTTCATTCTCTTTGGAAAATATTATGATAGTATCTAATAATTATAATATAAGATATATGTAAAATAATAAATGATGGTGAGCATAAAGCAATTATTTGTAAGAAAATTTAATCATATATTTTGTGAAAAATAATCTTTCTAAGAAAAAAAGGGAGAAAAATAATATTTCTTGTAAAATATTATTAAATATACTTAATACATATCCACAAGTCATGATATTTAATCATTTCTACAAATTAAAATTTAAATATACTATATATTCAATAAATATCAAATAAATTCAAAGAAATATAATTTCTATTTGCAATAAACTATATAAAAGATAGATGAACAGATACTTGCAATTATATTGTGATAATTTTATTTGCAAAATATGACGTCAAAATTTTTTAATTTTTTTTACTTCTTTTCAACAAAAATAGCTGAAGTAAGCAAAAATAAGATTATAAAAAATTTAAACTTTCTAAATGACTCTCTCTCATGCAACAAAAATAATTAACAAAATTTGTTTTTTTCTGACAAATTCTTCTTTTTCTACTGACAATTTATATATCTTTTCTATATAATATTGTTTAAGTATCAATTAACAAAATTTAATTAAACGTTGTCATTTGTCATTCTAATTACTTATTACCACCAGTTATGTATTACAATAGCCAATATAAAAATAACATTTCATATGAGAGAAATGAGAAACTATAAGTTTGCAAAAACTTACCATCAGATGACTTTTGCTGAATATCAGTTCGAGTTGATTCTGATTCCAATTTCTCGACTGTAATGTCGCCATTAGTTTTTAAATGATGGTCTGTTTGATGAGCAGGCGTAGGAGTAGTTCCTCTAGAACTAAGACTTTTTTCTCTTGTCTTTTTCTCCTTCTGTTCTTTGGCACTCGAAGATATTTCAGTAACAGCACTAGCAGCAGGTTGTTGATTGTGGGCATAAGACTGAGATTTTCTTCTAGGCGGTGAGTTCGATGAATTTTTATTGAATAAATTAGGGAACGGTTCTCTGGCAGGAACAGGGTTAGCACTTGGGGCAGTGGTGGACGGTTTAGGTATTTCTGGAGCGTTCATACTTGGTGCAGTCACAATTGGAACCGATGTTTGTGTTATAATAGGTGTGGCACACATATTCTTCACTTCAACTTCGCTTACGATCATTGCGGGTAACTGCGCAGAAATATCATCCTTATTTACGGTACGGGGAACAGTTAGTGGTGGTTCCTCAATAACCACACTTTTCGATTCACTTCGAGGTTGAAATTCCTTCACGGGAATTTGTAATGGTTTAGACTCGGTTTTCATTGTACAAGAGTCTATTTGAGACGCATTATTAGCGGTACCTAACGACTGACTACATAACGCGGTTATAGGTACATTCTGTGTCGTAGGTAAATTAATACACTGATTGTTCACATCATTAGAATTTTGTTGTGAATTAGATAAACTTTGTGTTATATTTTGAGTTGTAGATGTGTTTTGTACACAAGTCGGTACCGTCGAGTCAGAACTGGACTCTTCGGTCGCGACTTTCACAAGTGTTTTTGCAACCCGGGCTGCAAAATCGGCTTGCACCTCAGCGCCATTATTCTGTAACAATCACCAATTCTGCGTGATAGACAATGATACATAGCAATCGAATAAAGATTATGCTTGACAACTAAAAACTGGCTCCAAACTTAAATCATAGGACGACAAATAAAACCAAATATACTAAATGAAATAAAAGAAACATTCAATATATTTTATACCTCTGTAACCCCTCAGCCATGGTTTGCAAACTATAAGCAGAATTACAAAAAACTGTATGTAAATAACATATATCTACATAATAATATACCTAATCCAGATAAAATCAATCCTATTTTTATAAGAGTTAACTACACTTAAGCTAAACGACTTGATCAACTTCTTCAACTTCATGTAAATTTAGTATCACTAAAATTCTACAATAAATAGAATCTAGTATTAATATAGAGAATTTTCATACAATACTTTAGTATTTCTAGTCTTTAAAAATGAGAATGTTTTAATGTTCATGGCTTTTGGGTACAGATATTAATAATGTAAACAAGTGACTATAAGAGAATAATGAAACACAATTACTTTTAAAATTATTGATTTAATATAAAAATTGAATTTTCATTTACTTCACACTTACATTTTATTTGTATTTAATGAGATTTCCAGTCTTTTAAATATAAACCTCTTATAGTCAATTGTTGATGTATTAATATTCCAATATTACTCACTTGTGGCTGAGGCGTTTCACGATTGCTAGATTCACCACTTTGAATAGTTTCGTTATCTTTATAAATTTCATGACTTATATTTTTACCAGTCGTTGGGTCTACGATATCGGTAATGGCATTCTGTCCTCTCGGCTTTCGTGATTTAATTGTATTATTTGATGTATTTGTGGCGCCACCATTATGACCTGAGTACACATCTTTAAATAACAAAATATATGACTTACTATATATACAAAGAACCAGTTGATTAGAATTAATTAATTAATGTTAAATTACTCGGATATTAACAATACTATAATTTGACATTGTCATATTTGTTTCAAAATTATTTCTTATTTAAAAAAATAACTCACCACTGAACTTAAACTATAAACACTGTATAAATTCGAAAAAAACATGATTTGGAACGTAGTAGTCGCGTCGAATGCCTCGAAACTAATACGGACTACCCTTGCATTTATACTGACAAAATCTCTACCTGAACTCTTAAGAAATTCTTTATTTGAAAATCTTTATCTGAATCGTTAGAAAATCATTAGAAAATCTCTAAAGAGTCGTATAATGTATTCTATGTGCATAAATTAGAGTTTGAAGTTCCATTGAGACATAATCTCTAAGTCTTAAATAAATGCACTTTTTACTTTTTTTTCATGAATATTCCATTATGGATTTCTCTTTCTTGCAACATTTATCATTGGTAAAGATGTACGAACTATAAACATTTCAACAAATTCTTGGAAAAATTTATATACAAAATAATTTTTGTTGAAATTGAGCTTTTCCAAATTTAAAATATAATGTTCTTTTAATTTTAATTTTCATAACATTTAGTAAATGGTAGAAAAAATATAACATTCCATTTAAACAATTGAAAACCACTTTTAGTTCTCAAATAGAATGACTAGAAAAAATCTTTATGCACCAATTACATCGCGAACAAAAAACATCCTGTATATTTATGTTATTATATACAGGGGTTAGACAAAATAATAGAAATATAATCGTATAAAATGTGTATTGCGTTATTGCGATTGTTCGTAACTTGCTCGCATTTAGACTATGTTTTCTCTTGAATCTAAGAACTATTTAAACATTTTGTGCAATCTAGTTCGCCCAATAGTATAATCACTATTTTCAGAAGGTAAAGAAATTTTTCAAGACGATAATGTTCTGATCCATACAGTTGCGATTGTAAAATCTGGTTTAATGAACATGAAAATGAAGTTAAACATCTTCCTTGGCCGGCACAGTTGCGGAACTTGAATATTATTGAGCCACTATAATCTATCGTCGAAAACAAAGTTAGAGGTAAATTTTCTCTTCTAGCCTCATTAAAAGAATTTGAGAAGAATGGCACTATTTCATTTAATATCATTTAAGATTTGTATAAGTTTATTCCAAAAAAATTCAAGTTGTATTTAAGAACAATGACGGACGTTCTACGTTATTAATAAAGAATATTCTAAATAAACGAACTGTTTCCATTACTTTGTCCAACTCCGGCACATTAAAAATTTTAAAATTATCTAAAATATTGTAATAATAATTGATTTACACAATGGTATTTTATATATTTCAATAAATACTACTTATTTTATTTTATACATTGATTTTTCATTTAAAAATCTACTTTTTAACATTAATTATTACTAACATATTAATTTAACTCTTTGAGCATACAACCGCATATATGCACTTATCAATCTTTTCGATCTCACATGTACTGCAGTGACAATTACAAGAGATGAATACAGTCTTATTACACCCACATGAATTATTAAATTTAATTGATCTTAAATACATAGTTCAAATTTTTTACAAAATAACTGAATTATTTAATTGTATCTACATATATATATAAAAGTTTTATTTTTTGTGAAATGCATTTAACATAGATATAAAGTATTTATATAATTTAAAACTAAATATTTTGTTGTTTAGAATATAAATTTTTGGTTTTTTATATTTTGGTTATGTTTGTTATCTTCAAACATTCATTTCATTTCAGATTCATATCTTCATCTTTAAAACATGTTTTAAATCCTAATGTTTTTACTAAAATAATCTATGCTCAAAAATAGCTTTCCTGCATTATCCAATTTGACTCAATTGAAAAATTGAAAAATTACAATTATCTTAGTTCCGCTTGTATCAATCAACAGAATCTATCGATCTTTGGCAGTAAGCTAAATATTCCGTCTCCAGCGATAGCGATAGCGAACGGAATGCCGTCTCCACAGAAGTGTTCAGTACTCAAAGGGTTAAATAATATAATTTACATTACATTTTGTATTCATTTTATAACTTACCAGTTTGAGATAGGGATATACCCATTGGGGGTAAAGGTTGAGCCTGTTGTGTAGGTTGCTGAAGTGTACCTTGTGGTACTACTGGGGCTCCTTGGGCACCGGCCAGCGGGCCTGCAACATGTTGAGCCCCACCAGTGACTGCACTTGCACCTGCCCTACTTAAACTTAATGGTGTATTTGGTTGGCCTGTAGGCCAATATCCATCTATAAAGAAATATATAATATTGATTAAATTTATCTTTAATCTTTATAGTTTCGTATTACTTACAGGGTTGCGGAGTTGGTGCGGGTGCACCATATCCAAACATACTTTGTGTTAAAATGGCATTATGTTGAAAAGGTTGAAAATAAGACTGATTTTGATGAGTTTGATGTCTCTGCGGTGGACCACCAAACTAAAATTATAAAATATTTGTTACATTTTTAGTAATTATCAATAAAAATTATGAACATGATAGTATTTTATAAGCAAATAATGATATGTTTGGAAGAGAAAAAAAATAAACTTTAAAAAATTTAATTATAAAAGAATGTTTAAATATAATAACTTTTTTAGAAACTATTCTTTTAATGACAAATGAAATGAATAATGACGACAAATATATAAAATCAACAGTACTTAACTACTACCTGAAGGGGCATTTGATTGTTCATTGCATATAAGGATTGCTGATGGGGGATCTGGTGGGGGACTTGATATATTGCTCCAGTTTGAACTGGCAAACCACCTGGATGATAAATCGCAGTTGGTTGGCCTCCACCCCCACCAACTCCTGACATTCCGACTACTTGTGCATTAGAGCCTCCTTGTCCCCCTCTGTGACTAATACCTCTTGGCTGTTGTGGCCTAGGGCCTTGATAATAACCCTGAAATTAATAATTAATAATTAAAATTTATAATATATGAAGTTAATTATAACACAAATGAAATTTACAATATACTTTAAATATTTCTGATATTTTATATAAATATTATATAAATATTAGCAGATTGATTACCAGGCGAAATTTATACATTTTGTCTATAGAACTGAATATTTAATTTTCATGAAGTATTATGTCACAATAAAAGTGCAAGGAAAGTGTATTTTTTATTTCACAGTATCATGTAATTTTTTTATGTTATTTAACATGTTTTATCCATGACATTCATTTTAGTTTAATCGTTTCAAAATATTTATAGGAATAGGAACGTGAGTTATCAATGATCACTGTGGTAGCCAATGCGTTAATATGTAATACACAAATTCATTACAATTAATAAACGATAATAAAGTTTTTGTAAACACTATATTTATTTTTACTTACTTGAGACGTTGGTCTTGTTTGTGTTGGCCCATATACTTGTGATAGAGGCTGTGGCTGGGGTTGTAAATGAGCCTGTTTTCCCATTTCCTGTGGTGACGGAGTATGCACAGGAGGAGTCGTTGTGGGAGCCGGACCTTGCGGCGGTTGTGACTGTACCCCGGGCGCTGGGGTTTGTGGTGGTGCTTGCCCACCAGCAGGACCTCCTGGTGGAATACCTGCTGCTGATTGTCCTATGGACTGTAAGCCGCCGAGTGGTGGAGGTCCTCTGCCCCCAGGTACTCCTACAGTCCCACCTGCCCCAACCCCCTGGCCCCCTGGTTGGGTGCCGTAATTTTGACCTGACACATGAAAGTCTGATCCTGAAATTCAAAGTAAAAGAAAACATTAAGTATTACGTTTAAAATATCTGAGAAATTTTAATACAAAAAAATAATTGAATTTTGAAAATTTTGAATATACATATATATATGTATTTATTACAAAAATTATTTATTACAGTTATTCTTACGGTTTGTATTTTCATATTTACAAAAAAAAACATTAATATTTTATACATTTATATATTTATATCATACTAAATATTTTAAACACTTTTATAGGAAATTAATCGTTACCATATGTGCAAAGACAAATTTAATTCCTTCCAAATGAAATTTAAGATTTATCTTTGTGATTGCTTTAAAACGATTACAAATGGACAATTTAATACATATCCGTCGAATAATCGACGCTGTATGTTGTACTATAAAATCAAGGCATTTATTTATACAATGTAGAACACATTTCCGAGAAATTACTTATATCAAAGAGATATTAATTTTCTGTTCATGAGAATCTATTGTTTCGATAATCTTATCAACTTTAGAAGAAATTTTATATATGAAATGCGATAGGTACCCTACATGCACTATTGTATATTATTTGATTAATATAAAAAAATAAATTATTTTCCCATTTAAAATAGTAGTCGGATATTCGTATGATCAAACAATAATTCGAGAAGCAGTGATATCGTTAAATACTACAAAATGTATAACGAGATTTTTTTCATCGTCATTTTATCCTTCAGCTATTAAATATATGTGTCTGATTACGTGATATATATGTATATATAAAGGAAATTAAATGTACAGAAGCAAATTAAATATACACTAAAATTTGCATGTGCGCAATATTATCCTGCCGTAGAGCACTCGCCATTCTGTCGTTAAATGAATTACTTGTGAAAGCGATTATGCGTGGAATTGCATGACATCGCTTGACATGTCGTCGTCGTCGTCATTGTTTAAAAGATGTAGTACGATTGATTGTATATTATCAAAACATCAAACTAAGTAGGAATTATTGTATTCTCAAAGTCTCTATGAATTTACCAGAGGCATTATGTATGAGAAACGTACGTTTTTACAAAAACATGGGAATATATGTTTCATCACATGCTGCGACTTTATCACGAGAAAATACGTTAAGGACACGAGACAGATAAAAGAGGAAAAAAATATTGATATTCGAGAGCTCACCGTTGAAGATCGAGATAAAATTGGTTATTGTTTTTCGTCACGCAATTACTATGCTTATTCGTACAAACGGATTTTTTTTTACAATGAAGGAACAATGAAATAATAAAGCTCGAACGTGAGCAAAGAAATCGAGAAGACGGCCTCGCGAACGGCCATCTTTGCACATGTGGATAGGGCTTGGAGCAGTGCTGCTATCTGTAGTCCCATGAGTGCATTGATTGCTAGGAAAGGGGGGCGAGGCCGAACTCCATCACCAGGATCGTATTAACTATTGTGAAAATGCAAATTAAATGTATGTACAAATGTAATATGAAAAAAAAAAATTGTCTCCTACATATTTCATTAAAATAAAGAGCAGGAACATTAATCATATTTTAGAGAGTAAGCTGATCAATTTATCATGTTTTGATCAAATAAAGAAAGAGCTGTATTTTTTTTTTAGATCACGCATTTCAAGCTCGATGCAAAATATCGATAAATATATGTGGCTTTCCTGAATATATAATAATCGGCGATTTAAGACGTACATAAGTATCAACAGAGTGAAAGAACGTGGCCTGGAAAATACAATCTAGAATGCGATACGTCATTTCCGGTGCCAATTCTTTCTCTCTTCCCTCCTCTCTCGCTCACTCTGTTCTGCTCTTTCAAACCCCTACTACTTCATCACACACACACACACACACATCCATACATACACAAAAAAGAACATATTTCATACATTTTGATTTTTTAGCAAAATATTGTATAGAAAACAACTCACCAAATTTAAATATAAAAGGAAATTAGCGTTACATATAGAACGGTAACGCGTATGAAAAGTGAGGTTAGAACGACTGCACTCCAGCCACGTGGCTATACAAGAGTACAAGACATGTAACGATACAAGATCTGGTGGACACAGGATCTTTTAGCGTTGAAAAAATATTATCGTGTTATCGTTATGAGTTTCTTGATTTATGAATAGCGAGAAAACTACTTGCAGTCCTTTCAAATATACATAAAACAAGTAAAATTCTATTATTAATCTACATATTAAAAAGAAATAAGAAAAATGATTAAGATTTATACAAAGTATCTGAAAAAACACACAAAATACATTTGGAAGATAATTTATAATCATTATTGACATTAATATCAATATTGTATCTTATAAATTGTTGCTTTCATATTTAAATTTCCTTTAAATTAAAGAATATTGATTTTAAATATAATTTTTCAAAAATTGCTAATTATAAGAATTATTTAATATGATAAAAATATGAATTTATTTTCATACAGTATATCAAAATAAATTATGTTGAAACTTGTGTGTCAATCAAACAAGAAGTCAGATAGAATATGTAGTATTTTAACTATTATTTTAATGATTAATAATACTGGAATATATTAGTAACATATATATTTAACTTAAAGAAAACATAATCGACAGTAAACAAAATCGACTAAGTATTTGAAGTATAAGCTTCAAATTTCTCAGAATGGTAAGTTCAAATTTCTCTCGAAATCACAGAATGTTGGCGTCATCGCGACGGAACATGTCATGCAAGAGGAAAGAATCGAACGTACCTTCGCGACTGTACAAGGTAGAAAGCATTTTATCGATTGACCTATATCGTGAATTGTCTACAATGCCGCCCAGGGGCGCTTAAGGACTAACCTAAATACTAAGCTACTCGATATATCGATACAGTAGCCAATCGTAAATTACAACTGATTTATTAGTCAAACCTTCCCAGATCTTCGCGCGAAAATTTGAAATTATTTAAAATTATATAGAAATATTTATATTGCGTTAAAGAAATTAGGTTAAATTAAAATTGATCTTAGAGTCTTATCATTTACAATAATTGACATTAGCATTGCTAGAATAGTTCGATCTGATAAATTTACACTAATTCCAATACAACAGATACTCGTAAAGAAGTAACTAGCGTAAACTAAAAATATACTTCTTGTTACTATAAATGAAAATATCATAAATTTATTTTTATAATCATTGTGTGGTATAAATCGAGCTTAGCCATGTATCTACAAATAGATGCAAACGATTCGACTTCTGACAGATAGGGCACCAGGTCAAATTAACTACCTCCAGTGTGCTCGAAAATAACGGGCTTCACGTATGTACATCTCTTTCTATAAGTATAGATGTACAGTGTTATACACAGAATACATATTACTATGTATACATTGATATACGGAATAAAAAACACTCTTCGATTCGGTTAAAAATGAAGAATCATAGAAAATTGCAATAAGAAATTGTATCGCATTAAAATACATCACAGTATGAATTGATTTTGTTTTCATTTTTTTAGTTTAGTTCAATTTTAAAAATACAGAAGTTTGCTTAAATAGCAAAATAAACAGCAAAAATTGCTTAAGTAAATCAATAATTAAAAGCAAAGATAAATGAGTGTGTAACTAAGAACAAAGATAAATGAGCAGTATTTGAGATAATGCTTCCATTGGTCGCGAAAATATATGTCCATGATGGAGCAAATGAAGATAAAGCTTTTATTTGGGCAAATAAATGTCTAAAGTGACTGTAGCAGGAACATAGTATCTATTTCTATTTTGTTTATTAAGAAAAATTTTAAGATAATAGATGAAAATAGATACAAACTCAGTGTTTATTCAGCTCTTACGTTTCTGCAATACTATATATGAAAAAATTTCTTTGTCTCTCCTTTACCAATCTTTTCCATTTGACATTTTCTGAATAGTAAAATTCAAAATTTTTGTCATGACTAAGAATTGAATATGTGACTACTCATTTGCTTAAAATTTTGTATATAATTCTCAGTAAATACTATGTGCTAGATATTGTACAAATATAAATTTCTCCTTACATATATAAACATGTATTATTCGTTTTTTCATTATACTAATTATGTCTTTTAATTTTCAATTTCTCATTAAATTAATTAAATTTTGATAAATAATATCAAATAATTTATTGATTGAGCGTTGTTTCTTTAATAATACCAATTAAAGAATGAAATTAGTATGTTTTGAATTAACTTCTTGCTAAAGTTGAAGCTGCACTGACATTAATAGTAATATGTATGTTCAAAAAATAAAGAAAACTATTATTTTTATATCTGTGTACAACTGCTTTAATTGTACAATAAATAATTAAAATCTATGTATACATATACATATATACCTAATAATCGTACGCAAAATTAATCTAAATATTAGGCAATCACTTCATTATGAATTGATCAATTAATTTGTAAAATAAAATAATATTGCTCTACCAATAAATATATCCAGTCACTGAATTCCTAATAGATTGTTCATACAATCATATAATTCATTGCGTGTGAATTTTTTACTCGAAATACACATGTCAAAAAGCGAGCTGATTTTTTTGGGCCATTATAAAATAGGGCACGCATCTTTCAGTCTCATAATTTTATAAACGAACGAACTTTGATTCCAAATAAATATTACGAAAAATATTTGTAAAACCATCGATGCAATCTTTAACATCATTCTCTCCCTCTCCCACCCTCAGTTGATTGTTCTTATACTTACTAGTATTTGCAGTAACAACTCGATACTGTGGCGGTGCTTGCTGATGCTGAGTTTGTTGCTGTTGTTGTTGCTGGTGACTCAAATGATTAATATTAACAGTCAATTGATGATGACTTAGTTGGTGATTCAAGTGGGGACTCGGCGAGGGTGGTGGCTGATGGGCCGGATGCACGTGGTGATTGTGACCTGGCTGATTTTGTGGATGCGGGGCCGAAAGATGGTGATGGTGATGGGGCCCTCCACAATGTGGTAACAGACAGTGCATAGGTCCTACACCTACGGCTACACCCACT